TACCTTTTGAGAGATTCAACGGGTAAAAAGATTTCATTTGCAACCGCTTTAGTTTTCCGAAATACACCGGTATTGAAAAACTAATGGTAGTCTGAGAAAGTTGAAACAATTTTTATCCGAATTGAACTTGCACAACGAACACAACGCACTACAAGCGAGCACAATTTCATTCCCGGAATCATTTCGTTGCGTTTTAGCTGGTGCTTCCATCAGAAGAAAAAAAATGGTTTATAAATCACATGGCATGATAATCTAAGAAGATATTCGTTTATCTTTCCGCTTATGTGGGCACCAGGACAATGCCAGACTGATGTAGCCTCAGTTGTGTAAACAACCCCGAAATGAAGTCCCACAAACAGCGTGGTGGCCAGTCTGCAGCAGCTGGTGAGGCGCTGATGATGCAGGTGCTCTGTTAGACTGGTCTGATGGCCTGGTTGTTTGTGTAGAGCTCATCCGCTCGCGTTCGACCCCTACCGGTACGTGTTCGGCCGCTCGAAAGCGGAAGAATGAATTTATACCATGTTAGATTGTCATGACCTGTGACTGATAAACTATTTGGTTTCCGCAGTAAACATCAGCTGACAAGCATCGAAATGATTCCGGGAATGAAATCGTGCTCGTTTGCAGTGCGTTGTGTTCTTTGTTCAAGTGGTCTGAGCTCTGAATTATCAAACGGCAAGACCTTTATTATACGATAATTGAATCATGCATGTATACACCAGTGAAACGTTTGAAAATCTCCTCTGAAGCATTGAGAACACTGCGCGATTGGGATAACATACAAGGCTTGTGAGTTGCGTACATCGTTAATAGCTTGATAGGCGGGAATTGAGCATCAGATAATTGATTAATTGATTAGGACTGACCATCCTTCAGATTTCACTTTCACATACATTCCTTAGCCCTTCCAGTCAATCATACATTCGGAAGCACTAGACATGAGTTTCGCTCTTATTAGAGCTCAACAGTAGTGCATATCCGCCATCCCATCCGGGATTTGAAATCCGGACCCATGACATGAGCTGATTGGCGCGCACACACACACACACACACGCCTTCCATGCGATGGGTCCGGATTTCACCGGACTGGAAGAGCTAAGGAATGTGCGTGAAGATGAAGTTCGAAGTATAGTCAGTTCAAATCAATTAACCAATACTAATTATTCCAAAACACTACTCACAAGTAATTGTGAGTTAAATGTGAATTATCAGATAATTATTTCGGATTATTGCCGTTTTGGTAGCTTTCAATCGATTTTTTCATGTTACTCACACATCAGGCAAATTATTAATTAGCGTGTCAAGCCTATGCCTATATATGCATAGAACTCCCTCAGTCCGGAATTTTATTTCACATTCTTGAGTGTGGGCTTATCTCAAGAGGAGAGAACACTGAGGTCAGATCAGTTCGACTAGCTTTGTGTAGTTATATCAGATCAAAACTCACCGTCCGCGCTGCCCTCCAAGTGAAACGATTGAAAATGCAATTGTAACTGGCTATCTTTTGTTCGCCCGGCAAGATTCCACGTGCAATCAATATTATTCCCATATGGTTCCGGGTAGTTCGGAGTCTCAATCAATCCGGATTGATCGACTGAGGAATAATTACCACCGCAAACTAACCAGATGACGACAACGACAATGACACGCGAGGGACAAGAGAGAGAGAGAGAGGTGAGGCGCATAGGGGGTGGAGGTGAGTGGGTGACAAATTATTCCGATCGACATGCACAAACTCTTTTGATCACATCCCGTCAATATAATATTGCCTGATTGCAAATGGAATGGTGGATTCAAACGAGTCAAATCATTTTTATTGTGACTAGATGAATACCGACGCTTACACACACGCACACACGTACACGCGTGCGTTATTATACACTGTTCAGGATAGACAACCGTTTAACCGCATATACATATTCGTGACCGATCTCAGTAAGACTTCAAATCCTTACCCCTGGGCAACACGGTCGAGCGCCTGGTGCGTTTAAATGATCAATCGGGCTAATCCAAGCTTGATACTCTAAACCAGTTGAGCCATTTGCACAAGGTGATGACCGTCGACCGTATAGCTCAAGGGTACGGGGTTTGACAGGGACACACAAAAAGTACACGCACTACTGACGAGTTTCAAACAGGACGAAACAGTTGCCATCCAGTGCTCTTTATCGGTCATCACAAACATTTCCATCGCATTTTAGAGTCCATTGTATTCTGGGGTCGGGAACACTCTTGTGACCGTTGACTTGAGTCTACCAGACAATCCGTGAGATAGTGGAACAGTCACTGATGTGACTGAG